AAAAAAAAAAAAAAAAAGAGAGAGAGAATAGCAGGCTGGATCCCCTAAGTTAAGTATAAAGCTAGAGGACTGCACAAGCACAAGCACCGTAACCTGGGGTGTGATCCACTGTAACCTGGGGTGTGATCCACTGTAACCTGGGGTGTGATCCACTGTATCCTGGGGTGAGATCCACTGTATCTTGGGGTGTGATCCACTGTAACCTGTGGTGTGATCCACTGTATCCTAGGGTGAGATCCACTGTATCCTGGGGTGAGATCCACTGTAACCTGAGGTGTGATCCACTGTAAGATGGGATGTGATCCACTGTATCCTAGGGTGTGATCTGACACTGCCCGACTGGCAGGCAGTGTTGGGGAGTTCGTGATCGGCGTATGAGAGGGAGAAGGAAAGGGTGGACACAATCACACAACCACTCATACAGTATAGGGAGAAGGCTGAGCCGAAGCTGTTTATTTGGGATCGGTACAATCTTATATATGGTTAGTACAGGGGGAGTTGTTATGCTGTTCTGACGGGAGGGGCCCTGCGCTGTGCTCTGCGTTTCTGTCTCAGTCTTATACAATGTAGCTACTTCTATCCGGTTTTCTTACCAGCACTGGTCTCTTTATTCGGCCTTTTCACGTGGGGGTTGAATTAGGCTAGCACTCCCTCTTACGATGTAGTTTAATATTTCTGTTAACCCTTACAGTGATCCACTGTAACCTGGGGTGTGATCACCTGGGGTGTGATCCACTGTATCCTGGGGTGAGATCCACTGTAAGCTGGGGTGTGATCCACTGTAACCTGGGGTGAGATCCACTGTAACCTGGAGTGTGATCCACTGTAACCTGGGGTGTGATCCACTGTAACCTGGAGTGTGATCCACTGTATCCTAGGGCGTGATCCACTGTAAGCTGGGGTGTGATCCACTGTATCCTGGGGTGAGATCCACTGTAACCTGGGGTGTGATCTACCGTATCTTGGGGTATGATCCACTGTAAGCTGGGGTGTGATCCACTATATCCTAGGGTGTGATCCACTGTATCTTGGGGTGAGATCCACTGTATCCTGGGGTGTGATCCACTGTAACCTGCGATATGATCCACTGTAACCTGGGGTGAGATCCACTGTTCTGAGACTTGATTTACTTCTGCAAGTTATGCTTGAGGTACACCAGCTTCCTTGCTCAGTTTTCTCTATGGCTTCACATTTCTCTTCAGTTTGGCCAGGGAATTCCTCACTCTTTTCAGCTCCTTGGCTTTAAGAAGTTTTTGTTCCCCACATTTCATTTAATAATTTTGCTTACTTTCATGAGGATTGTTTGGTCTACTGTTAGATCAACTATTAATAGAGACTAGTTTACTATTATTAGAAACAGTACATTGTGTTGTTGTTTTTAATTTCATTAAAGAACTCTTTGCTTACAATATTTTCACATGCTTCATTGCATAATCTTTCTGTTGGGTGTTCTTCTTTTTTAATTTATTTTTATTTTATTTATTTTATTTTTTGTGTTCTTTATTACTTATGTTCTTTTTTGTCATTTACTTTTTGCATAAAATAAAATTTTTTAGGTCCCTTTTTAAGAACATTTTTACTGTCACTTTTCATTGGTGCTATTCTTATTATAAACTGGGCTAGGAGGAGCTTAAATGTTGGATTAGTTGTCTGTAGGTGCTCTCCTCACCAGTGTTTTTTGAGTTACGACTGCTTTCTTCTCTGGCCAGAGCTTCCCTGAAGCCCCATAGATTATAGGTTATTTTGTTGATCTCTCATGTTCTTGTTGGCTATTCCTGTTTTCAGAGTTGATAGGAGATACAGGTCTATTTATTTTTTTCTGTTAACTTTGGCGAAAGTCTCATTTTATTTCTCTAAATGGGACTTACCTTTAAATAGCATGGCAACCACAAAATTTAGGTCTTAAAATTCAGTTCTGTGGTTGTTTCTGGCCTTCCATTTCCTAGTTTTCACATGCTTCTCTTTTGGTACCATTGTTATTCTTTCCTGGCCTTAAAGAGTCTATCGATTGATCTAGAAATCAGTGCCATTTTGTAGTGATCAGTCATTTCTTTATATATGTAATGATGATTTGAATAGTTGATCTTAATAGTTGTATGTCCAGTTACACTAATCTATATTTCTAACACTTATTTTGTAGTACACGAGTCCAAAAATAAATTAAGTACTACAGGGAGGAACTATAATAATTTTATATCTTTTCAATCTTTTTTTAAAACATATTTATTCACCCAAAAACCAGTGTATAATTAGTCTTGCCAAAAATTGTAAGTTGCCAAGAGATCCATCAGTGGGTGAATGGTGCACATCCATACAGTAGTATTTTATCCTCAGTAAAAAGAAATGAGCTTTTAAGTTGTGAAAAGGCAAGAAGGACCCTAAAATACAAATTGCTATGGGGAGGAAGCCCACCCTCTACAGCCATGACTTTATGGTTCCAATAGTATGGCATTCTGGAAAAAACAAAATTATAGACAGTAAAAATACCAGGTATTGCCAGGGGCAGGGAGATGGGGAGAAAGGATGAATGGGTGGTGGGTGGGGTTTATAGAGCAAAAAATCTAGTCTATCTGGTACTGCAGTGGTGGGCATATGATATAATAGATTGACAGAACCCATTGAATTCTACTACAACACAAAGGGTGACCCGTAATGTAAACTATGGACTTTAGTTAAGAACAGTGTATTAGTGTTGGTTCATCAAATGTAGCAAATGTACCACATGAATTAATGCAAGAAATCCACAATAGGGAAATGGGGTGGGAGGTGGGTAGAGCTGGAGAATATGAGAACTCTGTACTTTCTTTGCTGTGTATGGTAAGCCTCAAACTTATTCAAAAAAGCCTATTAGCCTATTAAGTTTTACAAAAAAGTATTAATGCCTAATAAAGAGTTTGTAGATAACAACTATACAAAATAGTCAATAACCATATATATTTTGAAGGAATTTAACAAGACAGCCTCTTATGAATACGTTTCTGTTTTTGTAATTAACCATTTGGTATTTACTTTGCCTTTTTCACATTACTTGCAGCCATTCATTTTCCTGTCTTTTCTTTTTTTTTCTTTTCTTTGCTTTTTGGTCACTTCTATTAGGTGTGCTAGCCCTGTCTTGGTACCCACCTGATACAAGTGATGAGAATGGAGAACCTACTGATAGCTTGGTACCAACTATTTTGGATAAAGCTCATAAATACAATCTGAAGGTAGAGTATTTTATTTTATTTTCAAGTATATATGTATGCTAATGTCTTTGGATAAGAGGACAGTAATAGCAGTTTAATGAAAGCCGATGTAAACATAATGACTTAGCATTTTTAATAGTACTACATTTATTTCATAAAAAAAAATTCGTAATTAATATGAGTTCCAAACTGTCTAAATTATATTTTAGGTACTCCTTATTATTTTTTCTAATCATCTTTTATATTCATCTATTTATTGTTTTAGCAGAAAAAGAGGATTGAAAGGTTCTTTTATGAAGATAAAATAGAAATTAGGGAAGATTTATGTGTCTAAATGTCTTAGATATCAAATCTACTAAAAAGTATTGTTAACCATGTGACTTTACATGTTTATAAAATAGAAAATAAACTGTTGCTCAAATATTTTTCAGAATCTGGTTTTCATTTAACTTTACCATGGACATACACACAACTGTATATACATAGCATGCGGACAAAAGTCCACAGGCAGCTTTAAGATCAAGTGTATTCTACCCAGACATGACAGTATGTTGCAAATGAATAAGGATTTATCACAGCATAAGATTTTATGTATTTATTTCAGAAATGAATGAATCATGAAAGCTAAAAGGAATGATCATTAAAAGGATTTAAATACCACTACACAGCATAATTTAATCAAAAATTCATCATGTCATAGATAGCAACATTAATTCTAATAAATTTCTAAAAATTAACAACCATAGAGTCTGCGTTCTTGGGACACATTCAGTGCCACTGAAAGTTAATATTTAAGTCCAAACCATTTAAAAAGTATAAAATTGTTCAAATATTATAAAACTTTAATTAAAAATAGCACTTGTTTTAAAGAAAAAAATATCAAAACCAAAATTTAGATGATATACGAATGAATAGCATGGAGAGTTTTGTGTTGTCAGTACCAGTGGAGTATGGACAATCAAGCAGAAGAAGGAACCACTGAGGATGAAGTAGGAAATGAATGTAATATAAACCTTCAAAAGCAGCAGCCTCATAGATCCTCTTGAGTCATTTTCCACTTTGGGGAAAAGGCAAAAAGGCAAACCCATTGGTGAAACTAAAGTAGAAAAAAAAACAGAGAACATGATACCAGAAATTAAAAGGGGGTATACCTATAGCTACAGAAGAGAGTTTACATGTTTTTATGTGCATACTTTTATAGAAATGGGTAGTTCTCTAGGAAAGTATTTTGAAAAGTTAATTTTCTGGTGCAGAAAGAGATTTTTTAAAATGTGAATTGACTAATTATCCTGGGGAAAAATATAAAGGTAATTGAACAAATATCTTCCCTAAAGCTCCAGATTTACATGGCAATTCTGTTTAAAACTTTTGAGAAGCGTTTGATTCTTATAATTGGAATAGAGTGTAAAGTATACTTGCTAGCCATTGCTGCAAAACTCAGTAGCTTAAAGCAGCAACAAACACTTGTTATCTCACAATTTCTAAGGTCAAGAATCTGGAAGTGGGTTAGCTGGCTGGGTCTGGTTCAGTCACAGTCTGTCAGGGACGTGTTGAAAAGGAGCTGTGGACCGGTGCTGCAGCCACAGGGCTGCGGGAGACCCACTTACATGCTTTTCCATGTGGTGGGTGAACTGGGATTTTCAATTTCTCCATGTGGCTTTCCCAGAAGAAAAGATCTGAATATAGAAGCCACAATGTTTGCTGTTGTTTGTTTGTCTGTTTACTTAAAATCTTAGAAATGACACCCTATCACTGCTGCTCTGTTCTTTTGTTTTATTTACTACAAAATCAGGCCCTAGTACAGTGTGGGGGGGAATTGTGAAGTTTTGTAACCAGGAGATGGGAATCGGGGCCGCCTTGGATGCTGGCAACTACAGAAAACCCACATATTTATCCTAAAATGATAGCACAATTTTTATTTAAAACTAAACAAAGACAACACAAGACATTTACAGACTGATCTTACTATGAAATAGTTGCAGAATTCCTATAGAAAACTTAGATAAGAAGTGTTTATTAGCAAGGATTTATGAAGTTCCCAGAGCATGAAATCTGAATTTACATTGCCAGCATTCAGTCCCAGCTCAACTGCTTTCTACCGTTGCATGTAACACTTGTGCATCAGTTTCTTCATCTCTAAAATGGAAATAGTAACGAAATCTAGCATACGAAGTGGTTGTACAGATTACATGAAGTAATACAGGGTGGAGATAAAGTTCGTGTGTAATTTACTATGTTAAACTATTGTAAATTGTATGTAAAACACTTAGATTAGTGTCTGGCACAGAGTAAGCACTAAGTAAGCAAAACTTCATTGACTATTTAAAGGGTTTAAACATGCCAACATTATTGGATACCGAAATTTGAAAACCTAAAAATTAATTGCTAATAAAGTTCTCTATAACCAAAGTTCTTTAACTTGTAAAGAGTGTCTTTTAATAACTTACATCAAACATCATACTAATGGAAAAATAGTAGTATCATGCTGTTCAACCAGATCGATGTAAGAGTGGCCTTCATCACTAGTCCTAGTTTAGCAAATCTAGACAAAGTAGTCTGACCAAAACGTGCAAAGAAAAATGTTCTGAATAAAATGATCATTCTTTGCAAATTTCAAATATTTATAAAACCCATGAAAATTATCTAAAAACTATCAGAAATAATCAGTTCAGAAAAGTAGCTGGAAACAAAAAATTTGTAATTCTGTAAGATTCCTGTATTATAGTACACTATGGAATAGTATTTAGCCATAAAAGATGGAGACTTTACGTTTTTCGTGTTAACCTGGCTAGAGTTAGAGAACATTCTCTTTAACAAAGCATCACTCCACTCAGATCAGGAATGAGGCAAGGTTGCCCATTGTCTCCATTGCTCTTTAACACTATAATGGAAGTTTTAGCAATCACAATCAGGGAAGAAAAAGCAATTAAGGGTATCCATATAGGGTCAGAAGAGATTAAACTTTCAATTTTCGCAGACAATATGATTGTATATCTGGAAGATACCAGAGATTCTACTACTAAACTTTTAGAAGTAATCAAGGAATACAGCAGCATCTCAGGTTACAAAATCAATACTCATAAATCAGTAGCCTTTATATACACCAACAGCAGCCAAGCCAAAAAAGCAGTTATGGATTCTATTCCGTTCACAGTAGTGCCAAGGAAGATGAAATATTTGGGAGTTTACCTAACAAAGGATGTGAAAGATCTCTATAAAGAGAACTATGAAACTCTAAGAAAAGAAATAGCTGA